GTTGGACAGAACAAGGAGGGACCCAGGAACAGAGGTGATTTTGGTGGGTCCTGGAGACTTTCTAGAAGGGGAAGAAATGGGGCAACAGCAGCAGGGCATCTGAGGAGAGTTTGAGTCCGATCCCAAGCGTTACTTCTGCCTCCCACGCCGGCGATGGGGTCGAAATGAGAAGGTCAGAGGAGTGGGGGCTTGTGGTCATCAGACAGGTCGTTTCCGCAGGGAGATGTGACAAACCCTACCACAACCCCAAGAGAATCATCCCAGACCCCAGAGAGGACCCCGAGGGCAGGAGGGGCAGGTGGCACAGGCCCCGGTGGCAGCACCATGGAGCACTGGTGGACATCAGCCCAGCTTCCACTCAGAGATAGCTCCCCGGGAAGGCGAGATGCAGCTGCCATCTGCGTGCAAGGGGTGGTGAGGACCCCCCATGGGATGATGGTGGGAACCCACATGGGGTGAATGGGAGCGTGGGAGGGTTCCTGGCTGTGGCTTTGGGGATGGGGCAAGCCAGGGCTTCTTGGAGAAGAAAGGTGGAAACGGACTTCCTTGAAGATTGTCTCAAGTTTGCGCGACTTCTCTGGAAGAAGAAAGGAGAAGGAAACAAATCAAATGTGCTGATGACTCTGGTTTGGAAGATGCGGTCTGCAGGACGTAGAGTCTGTTAATTTATTATCTGGTAATTATCTGGCATGGCAGCAGGGTGGCCATGTGGCCAGCTGGGCACGGCACCAGGAAAGGCCTCTGCAGGAAGAAAATACCCGACACAGCCCCTGAGCCCGCTTCTACAGTCTCTGCATCTCCCCTGGCTCTCCCACCTTCCCTTTTGCAGGTCCTACCACGTCCCTGACGCACAGACTCTCCAGCCCAACAAGCCACCAGGGTCACACCACCTCCTAGACGCCAGTTAAAAGCAAAGAGCTGTAATTAAGGGAGAACTGAGCCGATGGCTTTTTGCAGCCAACATCTCCTCAGGCAGAAAACTTCATGTGCCAAGCTCTGAGCTCCATTTTCAGGCTTGTCTGAGGTACACGGTCCCTCCTCCTTTCCCCTAGCCCAGTCCCATCAGAAGCGTGAGCAGATGCCTCCACTATCTGCTCTTCATAAAGCAAATCAGTGCACGTGGGGTATTTGAAGGCCTGGAGAGGGCTCACGAGGCTCTCTGGAGGACTGGACTTTCCTCTGTGTCCCTGCCCCAGCAGTGGGCCTTTGGGCTTGGCTTTAGTCTTCTCCAGCCCCTTCAAAACCGCGGTGCCCGGGGTGCTCCTGGCAACCTCCCGGGCCATCCCCACCGGTGGCACAGCCTCTTCTCCAGGTGTGGAGCTCCAGGGTCTCCCCCAGATTTGCCTGTTGGGCAAATGCAAAGTCAAAGCAGCCACCTGTGTAGAGAGAAGAGGAGGGATGGGCTGTGCACGTGATTTTATTGGTGGTCTGGAGACCAACCGCAACCTCACTATAATTTATCATTGAATACAGGTTTTTTGACTGAGGAAAAAACCCTACTTTACAAATTAAAATGGGTAGGCATGAGCAACAACAAGAAGTAGAGACGGGAAATACTCCCTGACTCATACAATGTTTTCTTTTTTGTGCAGGTAATCATAAAAATTCATAGTTTAACAGGGTATGTGAATCCTCTGCATATGACAAATGCCAAAAAAAAAAAAAAAAATCAAGGAAGAGCGCAAGGCACTTGCACATTGGGGATGCTGGTCCCGGACACTGACACCACCAAAACCCTCTCTGGAGGAAGCCTTCATGACCATCGACCACGGCCGAAAAGGCAAAGGCGAAACTATAACAATAACCAACTTTTTCATAAATTCACCAGAGGCTTCTTGCCATGGCTAGGAATAATAGAATTGGAAAAGGAGATAGTGAATGTGTTGAGGGAAATAGTATTACAAACCCTACGGTAGATAGCAAAAAGACCTTACCAACAGAGGTCAAATCTAGATCTCAAATGGTGACGCAAGCCCAGTTAGCGATCTGTTAGAGGCCAAAGGAGGGGTTTGCGCTCTCATGAGCACCAGTTGTCTTTTCTGTGTGGACCAAGACAAGCAAATAGAAAGAGATGTAATGACAATCCAAAGCCACCTAAGCACCTAAAAACCAAATGTTTTTTGTAAAATGAAACAAAACAAAACAAAACAAAACCCTACCCTTTTGATGGGTGGGGTCGGACACCAGACATTGGCGGATGGTTTGGAAATGTGCTTAAAACGTTGTTCAGATCTGTATGTATCAGGTTAATGGCTGTAATAGCAACCTACGTGTCTCTTCAATTAATTATTGGTGGTGCTGAGAGTGTGTGTCTAAGCAGCGGGCGATTACTCAGCAAGAGATAAAGCCGATGGCAGTGCAAATGCACGGGAGAGAAAAAGAAATCAAAGCAGAAGAAAACCAGCTCTTTAATATACAAGTATAAAGGCTGCCCTGGGGTCCCACGTGTCCCTGCCGTGTCCGTTCCCTGGTTCCATGGGCCTTGCTTGGAAGGGATCAGAGGTGGGGGGGGCTGGTGGGGCTGGTCCGTTCCCTGTAGGTCCGGGAGCTGGAGGTCTCATGGGCACCAGGAGGAGCTTCAGCTCGAGGAAGAGGTTTTTAACTGTTGCCTTCCCTCTTCAGGAGCCTTCAGAGCATGGAGACACCCTGTTGGCTTGGTCTTGGTGCCCTCTCCTGACAGCCGTGGCATGGCTGCAGCCCAGAGCCCGGAGCTCCGGCTGGGAAGGTCCAGCCTGGCACTGTGAGGAGGCTGAGCACAGCATGCCCAGGCGCCCGGAGCCGAGCAAGGAGGAGCATCCCATCACCTGGAGGAGCCGGCACCAGGGGCTGAGTGGGGCATCGCCTCCATCCCGGCCCTTCGCTCGCCTTCCCCAGCGTCGGTCCAAGTTTTCTGGTTTCTGCAGTCCTGTCGAGGTCATCCCTCAGCACTGGATGGGTTTTCCCTCTGCCGTGAAAGCATCCCTGGAAGCGCCGCAGCCGAAATCCCATTCCCCAGGAGCTGGGGAGGGTGGCTGCTGCTCGGGGACTGGCTGGGGGAGATGGCTTTTGCATCTCTTGGTGGGGGGTTTTTGGGGTGTTTTTTTTTATTTTATTGATTGGTTTTCTCCCCCTCCCCAATTAAACTGTCTCGGGGAAAGAAGGAGGAAGTGGGGGGGGTGTCCAGAGTTACGGCATTCGTCTTCCCAAGTCACCGTCACGCGCGATGGAGCCCTGCTCTGCCGGCAACGGCTGAACTCCCGCCCGCCGGTGGGAAGGAGTGAATGAATCCCTTATCTTCCTTATCTTGCTTTGCTTGTGCTTTACCTATTAAGCTTTTACCTCAACCCACGAGTTTTCCAGCTTTTGCCCTTCCAGTTCTCCTCCCCATCCCAAAACCCAGGCAGGGATGCCCGGTGAGCTCCCCGGCACGGAGGGGATTTCCACGGCTGAACGTGGGTGAATCCCTTGTCTTCTTCAGCATCCCCCGTCTGATCTACCTGCCCAGGGAGCCCTGCAGAGAAATCCCTCCTCCGCAGCACAGCGCTGGCACACTGAAGTCCCGGGGGAGACGTGGCAGCCAGGCTCTGCTCATCCATGGGGCGCACGCAAGGGACAAGCTGAAAGCTCCAAGCCCCAAACCAACGGCAGTTTCGCCCCTAAAA